TAGCAAATACTTAAACTAATAACAAAACATACTTACAGTCACTGATTCAGAAGCGCCAGATGACATGGCTGCATCAACATGACTGCGGTTACTGAAACCACACCTTCTTTCTTTGCGTGCACATTTGGGTGGCATTATGCAAATATTTCCACATAGTGAGGTAGATATGTGGGGGCGTGTTAGAACGAGTCGTTTTAGGTAGGCGTGGCTGACTCTTAACTTTTATAAAGAATATCTTTTTGGATTTGAGACTTTAGTCTTTGCAACTTTACAGATCTTCTTTATGCACCAAGAGCTTGTAACACTCCAAAGAGAAAGGAAAACTTGAAATCGCATCATATGACCCCTTTAAGTAATGGGTCTCTCGCTCTCTCTCTCGCTCTCTCTCTCGCACTCTCTCTCTCTCTCTCTCTCTCTCTCTCTCTTTCTTTCTCTTTCTATATATATGTTTGTTTGAACATATATTATCCATATATTGTATGTTTACTTTTTTTTTTTTGGTTAGACTAAAATTTGGCATAATGATTTTGGTCTGGTTCAGAGTGGAGTAAGTTATTCTGTAGCTAATTGACCCTTCACAAAAACCTTGCCCCCCTTAGTTACTGTTGCTACGTCCTACGTTTCCTTTCCCTCTCTGAACTCAGTCGCTTGAATGGCTAAATTGATCTGGGTCTGATGCTGAGCTGATTCTTGGTCTTTTGGCTTTGTGGTTGGTGGTTAAGTTGATTACCGCCCTAATGAGAGTGTTAACCTGTGCTAACCCTTCAGTGCTGGTTGCCATGTCATTTCTTGTTCCGGTAATCTCAAAAGATGTCATGCGGTCCAGCCGTGAATTATCGACTTTCAGTAGCATCAAAACAAGATGACCTGTTACTTAAAGACTATTACTGCCCTTTGGGAAAAAGGCTTAAATCCTGTGAAATCACCAAGTACATCTTTCTTGTATTGACATATTTCCCATTCAAATAGGACTTTTGGGTAGGCAAGTGGCTTTTGGGGGAAGCATTTGATTGGAGAAAAATTGGTTATGCAAAATGAGTCCTCATTGTTCTGGTCCGTTGTCCTGGAAGAGGCAAACTGTAATTTTGTCATTTGTCATTAAAATTAAATCAACTTTTAGAAGTACACTAGCGTGTAGATGACCTGAATCTAAAAGACATGGGAAAAAGTATGTAAAGTTTCTCAGTCTTATGCTGTAAAGAACTTATGGCCCAGTTTATAAATATAGCTCAATGTAGTGGTTGTAATATGGCAAATATTTGTTTTTAAAAACGTACAGTAGTGAAAAATGTAATCTATTCTTTTATGCTTTTCATAGTGCCAAAGACGACGGAGTTGACATTGACGCACTTGCAGCTGAAATTGAAGGAGCAGGAGCAGGCAAGGAGCAGAGTAAATCAAAGAGCAAGAAAAAGAAAGAAAAGAAAGATGACTTTGAGTAGGTCTTCACACTGATACAGTTAATAATCCTAAAGAGATTTTCTCTTGTTATACAGTGCTGCTCCAAAGATTTTTAAAATGTTTTTGAAAAAGTGTCTTATGCTTATAAAAGCTGTTTATGTGATCAAAAAAAAAAAAAAAGACAGTAATATTATGAAATATTGTAACCACTCAAAATAACCGTATACTAGTGCTGGACGGTATGACCAAAAATTTATCACGGTATTATACACACAAATTATACTGGTTTCAGGGTACGTGACGGTATTTTTTTTTTTTCATGCTTGACCGGGTGTTAACCATATTCTCTACTGATTGAGAGAGGAAATACTGCAGTATATTGACTTAGAATGCCCTATTTTACTGTCATGATGAGTGAATATTGTCAAAAAATACCACACTAAATAGTGACTAAACACGACCCCTTTTAATACATGTTAACCAGGAGTTACTCTCATTTATAATCGCGGCATCGTCTATATCGATACTTAGGATCGATACGCCCATCCCTAGCTTTCACACAGGACGCGTTTGCAGTCCGCTCATGATCCGCGGCTGTTTAACACACACATTTATCCATTATTTTGATTTCAAATCCAAACATAGTTAGCCTATACTGAAAGTGTTTTTTTTCAGCATTGTGATCCTCTTTTATCACTGTACAGTTACACAATCTTTCAGACATATTCACTTTTAAACTCAATTAATATAAACAGCGTATTAAATGCATTTGGCTTCTAGATTTGAATATTAAGTTGCTCAAGCAAGTGGAAACACATTTGAACACAGCATATAGCTTTCTTGTGTTAGGTTGTCACAAATATTTTAAATTAAAACTTACCACTGACAGAAACAGTCGCATCTGTCGGAAAGCCTTTTACATTTAAATCTTTATTACAAACAGTCCCACGGGTCTTAAAGAATTTTGTTTTTCTACCTCCACAAGACACAAGTGCATATGTTGCCTTGTTTAGCTAAAAGTGCACTTTTATTTGTTTCAAACCTAGCCAAAAAGCCTGTGAAACACAGTAGACTTTAATTATATCTATTTATTGTGAAATTACTAAATTTCCGTCTCAAGCTGTTCCCTCACGACAGTGCAACAGTGAAAAGGGACCCCTTTCAAACAATGTCTCGTTCCGAACATTGTTGAAGTGACCTACACCGGTATTGCGGTATTTTAAAAATTCATCATAACAAAAATAAACACCGGTATTCGGCATGAACCGGTATACCGCTCAGAACTACCGTATACTGTAATATATTTTAAAATAATTTATTCCTGTGTGATTTTTCAGCATCATTTCTCCAGTCTTCTGTGTCAAATGATCTTTCAAAAATCATTCTAATATGCTGATTTGCTGATCAAGACACGTTTATTATTATTATTATTATCATCAACATTTAAAGCAGTTGTGCTGCTTTATATCTTTGTGGAAACTGTGACACATTTTTCTCAGGATTCTTTGATACATAAAACAGTCAAAAAAGACACTTAAAAAAAAAATCTATTGTAACATTATAAATGTCTTCTGTCACTTTTGATCAATTTAATGCATCCTTGCAAAATAAAAGTATTTAAAAAATCTTGTCGACCCTTTTGAACGTTAGTGTAAGTGTTTGGGAATTAATGAACTTTTACTTGCAGTGAGGATGACATCCAGAAAGAACTGGAGGTACTCTCATTAGAAAACCAAGGAGAAAAATGTAAAGAGGCAGAAAAGGTATTCTTCAGTAACACAAACTGATAAGCACGTTCATCACACATTGTCTTTTGTTTTCCTCTCTTCTAATAGTGCCAATATTACAAGAGTCACGTACCACTGACAGCATTTTCTCCACATGTTTTTCTGTCTTAGAAATCCGATTCAGTAGCGGAAGCTGAACCTGAGCCCACTCTGAGTAAAGCAGACAAGAAGAAGGCCAAGAAGGGTAAAAAGGCAAATCTGGAGGATGAGGAAGGTGATGAAGATCAGGGTCAAAACGACATGGAAAACGAGAGCAGGACGAAAGACACAAAGACGGTGGCGTCTCCCACTCCTGCTGGTCCTGCTTCAGACTCTGAGGACGAGGGCTCACAGTCATGGCAGAAACCTATGGCTAAAAACAAAGGTGGCCAAAAGGGTGTGTCTGACTTGGAGGATGATGAAGATAGTGGTGCGAAGAAGGGTGGAGGAGCGGCTGACAATGATGAATCAGACGATGATTCTCAAGCCGCACACAAGAAGAAAGTAAAAGCCAAAGCCAAACCAGCCAGTGAGGAAGATGAAGGCGAAGAATCAGCCTTCAAGGTGAAGACAGCCGCGCAGAAGAAAGCAGAGAAAAAAGAGAGGGAGAGGAAGAAGAAAGAGGAGGAGAAGGCCAAGCTGAGGGCTAAGAAAGAGAAAGAAGAGGAGGCCTTAAAGAAGGAACCAGGGAAACCTGCTACCATACCTTCAACAGAGAGCAAGAAAATCGAAGCAGCGGCTTCAGTGGAGCAGGATGCAGCTGATGTCCAGGGAGAAGGTGAGATTGTCCACTCAGGGCTGTTTATGCATGAGTACAATTTAATAAGATTTTTTTATATATATATTCTGCAAGAATGCATTAAAATGATCAAAACTGACATCAAAAACTTGGTATGTATTCATGTATTTTCTAGAATGAAGAAAAGCCTTTATCCAAACCCACAGACGTGATTTTTTTGTGTATTGATTCTTTTTTTTTTCTCACACAAAAAAAGTAATAATTCTGCATGATTTTTTGAATCAATGTTTCATGGAAATGATTCAAAGTTACCAATTATAATGCCATTTTTGCTACTGAAGTCTTAATGTTCTAATAGTCGCAAGTCATAAGGCAAGGGGTGATTAATATATTAGTCAAACACACTCTATAAGAAATGTGTATATATAATATATCAGAAAGTCCTAAGCATTCATGTTCCTCTTTCCTCTGCTTTTCCACAGAGGAGGCTGAGGGTGATAAAAAGAAAAAGGACAAGAAGAAGAAGAAAGGCGAGGAGAAAGAGAAGGACAAGAAAAAGGGTCCCAGCAAAGCAACTGTGAGAGCAATGCAAGAGGCCCTGGCCAAAATGAAGGAGGAGGAGGAACAAGCCAAAAGAGAAGAGGAGGAGAGACAGAGACGACTGGAGGAGCTGGAGGCTCAAAGACAGGAGCAGGTCAGTGGAAAAACAGAGTCACTCAAGCTCATGGTGTCAAAAATCATTATGGTTCCTTCATCTCTGAAACCTTCATCCACAGGAGCGTCTAGAGGCCGAGAGGAAAGAAAAGAAGAAACAAAAGGATAAGGAGAGAAAAGAAAGGCTAAAGAAGGAGGGAAAGCTCCTTACCAAGACCCAGAAAGAGGCTCGAGCCAGAGCAGAAGCCACGCTGCGAGCGCTGCAGGCTCAGGGTGAGAACATGACTGGTAGCAGTTACGATGAAAGAACGATTACTTTTTTTTTTTTTTTACCTTACGGTGTAATTGGCTTCTCCTCAGGTGTTGAAGTGCCATCCAAAGACGCAATGCCAAAGAAGAAGCCTGTTTACTCTGATAAGAGAAAAAAGAAGCCAACAGCACAAACTCCTGAAGGTTTGATCCCGACACCTATTTCTTGCTCTCTGTATTTACCGTCGTAATCAAGGATGGTTAAAGACGTCCTAACATTATCTTTGCTTATATTAGAAACTTCAGAAGTGGCATCACCCACAATAGAGACACCTCAGCCAATCACAACAGAGATGGAAGTGGGCAAACCTGAGGCGGAGCAAGGTAAGTACTTCAATGTCTCAAATTTAGGGCCCTTTGAAATGTTTTATTTTGGTGTCTTAATTACATTTTAGCCATTAAGAAACTTTAGCCATTATTTTTGTCAATTACAATGCTGCACAACAGAACTTGACTTTATAAAAACTTGTGTAAATTGAAATGTATAAAATATTTCTCTTTTTTTTTTTTTAAATCATCTAAACTGTTGCTTATTATTATTGCTATTACTATTACTGCTACTTATAGAAGTACATTTTACTGCACAATAGTAATATTTCTATCATAATTTCAAGTTAGCAGACTTTTATTTTGATGATCTGTTGTAAAAACCTTTGAGTTTCTGTGAGTTTTTGACATGCTGATAGTCCTGTTTGTGGTTTAATTACTTGTATCAGTCTATATTGTAATTTGACATCGCACACGGTACAGTAAATTCCGTTTTTATGCCTGGATTCCACAATTCTGGCCACGTTTTCTGCATTATTGTCAAAAAAATAAAGTATATAAGTGAAAATACTTTTATAGACTTGTAAAGCTGATCATAGATAAGGATTTGTCTGTTCATAATTTATGGCTGTAAACAAGGATAGCTAACTCTAAATTCTAACATTTTCATTGCAACAGTTAAGGAGCCGAAAGCAGAGGCTGCTGATCTGGACGATTGGGAGGCCATGGCCAGCGATGAGGAGAAAGGTGGGTGTAAAGATGCTTTCTTACGGATACATGTCTTTTAAAATCTAAAGTAATTTGGTGGTAGTTTGTGGTGAGTGATTAATTTGCCATTCACAGAGATGAAGAAGGTTCACATCGAGGTGAAGAAAACTACTCCGGCAACACAAAAACCTGCTGAAGACCCAGAGAATGGAAGTGAGGAAGAAGAGGATGATGAAGAGGAGGATGATGATGAAGAGGAAGAAGAGGATGAAGGAGAGGAGGAGAGTGAGGATGAAGAGGACAAAAAAGACAGCAGTGTCAAGATGACCACAAATAAAGCAAGAAAAGAGCCGAGCTCCGAATCGAGCAGCGAGAGCGAATCGGATGATGACCGAAGCAAAGAGGAGATACTTTATGACAAGGCCAAGAGACGCATAGAAGTACACACAAAGACTTTGACACTATACAAAGTGTACATATTTATGCACATTTTAGTAAACAAAGTGGACTCAACTGTGTTTTTCTTTGTGTGCAGAAACGAAGGCAGGAAAACCTGAAGAACATTAATTTTGACAAGCTCCGATCTCCTGTGGTTTGTGTACTAGGTCATGTGGACACAGGGAAGACCAAAATCCTGGATAAGGTGCGTTTCAAAGTGCCTGATGTGGACTTTAGCACCTTTTTGTTCTTTATATTGTTTTCTTCTTCTCTGTTCTATCAGCTGAGACACACTCATGTTCAGGATGGTGAGGCTGGTGGGATCACACAGCAGATCGGAGCCACTAATGTGCCCCTGGAAGCCATATTAGAACAAACCAAGATGGTGAAAAATGTAAGTATCTTTCTGTAATTTACATTCTCTCATTCTGTTTTCCCATGTGATTCTTTAAGGTTATCAAGACATGTGTTTGTCCATTTACATCAGTTTGACAAGGAGTGCGTGAAGGTTCCTGGCATGCTCATTATTGACACACCTGGACACGAGTCCTTCAGGTACACACTGTACTTATTATTTTTGTGTGTAAAATAATAGTAATAGATTTTATACACCACCATTTAAGTTTTGGGTGAGTCATTTTTTTTAAAGAAAGAAAAAAAAAACTTTTATTCAGCAAGGTCACATTAAATTGATCAAAAATGACAGTAAAGACATTTACAAAAATATACAAAAGATTTCTATTTCAAATAGATGCTATTCTTTTTAGATTTTTCAAAGAATCCTAAAAAAATTTAGCACAGTTTCTACAAAAATATTAAGCAGCACAACTGTTTTTAACATTGATAGTAGTTTTAAAATGTTAAAATAGAAAATAGTTATTTTAACCTCTTTGACTGTAAACATTACGTTTACTTCACTATATTACAATTAAATCCTAATCTAATCATGACAAGCTATATATATAGTTGGAAACGATATAAAATGATTCGCGGGTCTCCCGCAAAATAGAAATTATCTAAATATAAAGTGTCTAAAACATATAAATTGTTATTTATCTGTTGTACAAAAGCAAAAAGAACAACTTTTGCGGGCGGGAGTGGGACAAAACATGAATGTCGCGGGCGGGAGCGGGACTGGGACCAGATAAGATATATTTCTGAGGGAGAAGGCGGGCGCGGGACAGAATCTTGCGGGAGCAGGACCGAAAACCCCGTCCCGTACAGGTCTCTAGTATGCACCAAGAGTTCCTGTAAAACCACAACAAATTCCTTGTGTTTGCGCACACTTAAGTGGTGAATAAAGCTCATTCTGATTCTGATTCTAATAAGAAATCACCCCTACAACAACTTCTGAAAGTGAACGGTATTGTGTTTTACTCGAGCATTACATAAAAAATTTTAGGAACTGAATAATAAAAAGGAAAAATAAAATACTACTTAGTATTTACTCTTTGAGTTCAATGTGCACTGATTCTTAATTAAGCTATAAAAGTTATTTCGGTAAGAGCAGTGAGTGATTTTATCTTTGTCTTTTGTTCATGGCCCCAAATATTGCAAGCTGTAGCGATATGCATATTGCGATATGTACATTTGCGATATTTCGATAATTTGGATATATTGCACAGCCCTAGTTCTGACCTTTGTCACAAAAAGTGTTCTTCGTTGCCTTTTTCTCTATCACACTTTAGAAATCATCAGAAATGATATATCAATTGAAAACTTAAAATCTCAAAATCCCTTGAAAACCATTTTAAAATCAGACATTGCGTTACCATGAAAATGGTACATCAAAATCATGTTACAAAATGTTTTCATTCATGAATTATTTAAGTTTGGATAGTGCACTTTCACGACTATGTTCAAAAATGTGAGTGACAGTTAAGGGGTTAAATTGTAAAATTTCAAAATATTACTGTTTTACTGTATTTTTGATCAAATAAATGCAGCCTTGGTGAGCATAAGAGACCTCTTTAAAAAAACATTTTTTAAAAATGTACCAATTCCAGACTTTAAATGGTTGTGTGTGTGTATTTAAAAATGATTAATGGTTATTTGTTTTTATATGAAAATTTGTATTAAATATTAACTTGCTGTTATCAAATTTATAAAATATGCAGAATCCATATGAGAAGCATAAAGAAGTGTCTACGGCTCAGGGAGTCAAGATCTTGGGGAAAGATCTGGAGAAGACGCTGGCAGGTCTGCCTCTCCTCGTCGCTCATAAAGAGGATGAAATTCCAGTCCTGAAGGTAACTGTGTTACTTTACAAAACAATCTTGTCATGTCCTTCTCTCTAAGAAGGCAATCTACTTTTCTTTATCTTTCCTCTCTTTTCTTGTTCTTATATTAATCAAGTCAGAATTAACCGTTCATCTTATTGCTACATTGGCGACCTTTCCTGCATGCTGATGTTGGTTGTTTATAGGACGAGTTGATCCGGGAGCTGAAACAGACTTTGAATGCCAACAGAATCCGTATGAGAAGCATAAAGAAGTGTCTACGGCTCAGGGAGTCAAGATCTTGGGGAAAGATCTGGAGAAGACGCTGGCAGGTCTGCCTCTCCTCGTCGCTCATAAAGAGGATGAAATTCCAGTCCTGAAGGTAACTGTGTTACTTTACAAAACAATCTTGTCATGTCCTTCTCTCTGTCTAAGAAGGCAATCTACTTTTCTTTATCTTTCCTCTCTTTTCTTGTTCTTATATTAATCAAGTCAGAATTAACCGTTCATCTTATTGCTACATTGGCGACCTTTCCTGCATGCTGATGTTGGTTGTTTATAGGACGAGTTGATCCGGGAGCTGAAACAGACTTTGAATGCCATAAAGCTGGAGGAGAAGGGTGTGTATGTGCAGGCCTCCACACTCGGCTCTCTGGAAGCTCTGCTGGAGTTCTTGCGTACATCCAAAGTACCTGTAAGCTTTCAAACACTCACACATACTCTCATAAAACCCATTTTATAGTTCTTGAACAGTATAACAGCATGGCTGATATACTAGCCAGTATTTGGCTTTTTTTTTAATTATCAGCATTGCTGATCAGTTTTTCTGTTTGGCTGATGTGTCAGAAACAGGACTTTTATTTTGACAGCACTGAGAATGCCAGCGCCTGAGTGCATGGCCCTCTCCATCTTCTTTAGCTTGCTCATTAGTCTCAGTTAAACATTTTCTGTCTAATATATTATTACAGTGCTTACATCATATATATATATATATATATATTAGTAATCTATTTAGTAGTGAAAAATACCATAATATGATTACAGAATCAAGAAGTTGCCATCAAAAGTTTAAAATTAGTTTTATTTTTTAAGTTTAAATTTTTTCATAATTCCTTTTCTAATGATTTCATATTTAGTAAACTATGTAAAATAAATGTCATTACAGCAATTACGCATGTTTTTACTATCTTTACAATAATTGTGTGATATGTATACAGTGTGTATATATATATATATATACATACATGCATGCACACATACCAACACCACAAATTTGGGGGTAACTTTGTGCGATGCACAAATAGCTCTCCTCACATATAGCACAGATTCACATTTGATTCCAGTTGAGTTTAATGATGGCATTTTCCATAATAATACATAGTTCACAAACATTTTTCAAATTAGTCCATTTTTAATTAGATTTTATTTTATCAATATTTTGAAGTTCAAATGAAATGCAAATATACTTATAATCAGCCTTTCTTTTGTCTTGGCTGTCATCTTGAAGTATTGTTTTATTTTCACACATGGAGCTTGTCACAATGTAATTAAGATGAGGAAAGATTCTCTCTCTGTCCCTCAGTATGCTGGCATCAACATTGGTCCTGTCCACAAGAAAGACGTCATGAAAGCTTCCACTATGTTGGAGCATGATCCACAGTATGTATTCTGATTGATACATGATATACCTCCTCTTGTGAGATTGTTCTCCTAATCTTTCGCTCTCTCTTCCTGTAGGTATGCAGTGATCCTGGCGTTTGATGTGAAAATAGAGCGAGATTCTCAGGAGTTGGCCGACAGTCTCGGTGTGCGCGTTTTCAGCGCTGAGATCATCTATCATCTGTTTGATGCCTTCACCAAATACAGAGAAGACTACAAGAAACAGAAACAGGATGAATTCAAGTGCGTTCTCTCCTGCCCTCATCCTCCCCTTCTATTTTAATCATTGACATATACGCTACTGTTCACTTTCTAGTTAATACTAAACTTACCTTTTATTCAACAAGGAATTATTCAAAAGTGTCTGTCAGTAAATACATTTAAGAATTTCTCTGTCAAACAAATGTTCTTTTAAACTTTCTATTCCGCAAAGAATCCTGAAAAATGTATCACGGTTTTTATTAAAAAAAAATATTAAGCAGCACAACTGTTTTCTACATTGATAATAATAAGAAATGAAGACTGGAGTAATGGCTGCTGAAAATTCAGCTTTGCATCACAGGAATCAGTTACACTTTAAAATGTATTAAAATAGAAAACAAATTGTAATAATTTACAATATTACTTAACAATATTGTTTTGCAACAAATGCAGCCTTGGTGAGCATAAGAGACTTCTTTTGAAAACATTATAAAAGCTGAAAAACCAACCCCAAACTTATGAATGGTGGTGTACAATTTATCATTAACTCACCTGAGCCAAAAGTAATTTTACATCACAAACTAGACTAAATTCTTCAACAGTGGTTTCTTTGAAAAACAGGTCGTTTTCTCCTGAGTGTTTGCAGTCTGAATATCTGAAAGTTTTTCTCTTTTTCAGACACATAGCTGTGTTCCCCTGTAAGCTGCGTATATTGCCCCAGTTCATCTTCAACTCCAGAGATCCCATTGTCATGGGCATCACTGTGGACGCTGGAGTACTGAGAACGGGCACTCCTGTGTGTGTGCCCAGCAAAGGGGTGAGAAATTTAGAGAGTGCACACTTTAAGCTCAACAGTGTAAGAAGCAGAGAAGCTCCTTTCCTCTACTTTTAGCTTTTACATTTTAACCGTTTATTTTAAGGTGAAATTTGTTTTGTTTGCATTCATTTGTTCCTCTCTCTCAGTTTGTAGATATTGGCATTGTGACCGGTATTGAAATAAATCACAAGTCTGTAGAAAGTGCTAAGAAAGGACAGGAGATCTGTGTGAAAATAGAGCCGATTCCTGGAGAATCACCCAAGATGTACGGCCGACACTTTGAGGCTGTAGACATCATTGTTAGCAAGGTAAGCTCTCTCCCAGCATCATGAAATAAAGCCACTGGAGCTCACATGATGCGTTCTTTTTGTTTCAATTATAATAAATTGTATTATAATTTTATATTTTAATTTGTGTTTGATAATATTTATTATTAATTTATTATAAATATATATATATATATATATATATATATAAATTCTAATAATAATAACTTTTAAACAATAGTAATTTTTACTTTTGCCTTGGCAGCTAATATACTAAAATTTTAAGCTGTACTAATGTGACTCAAACTAAAAATAAAGGGAAAAGAGCTAAATAGAAATATATTTAAAAAAAAACACTACAAATGTTGCAGCACTATTCAAATGTGATTCAAATGTCTTCCTTTATTTCTTGCAGATCACCCGTCAGTCAATCGACGCTCTGAAGAACTGGTTCAGAGACGAGATGCAGAAATCAGACTGGCAATTAATCATGGAACTGAAGAAAACCTTTGAAATCATCTGAACACACCAGTGACTGTAACTGACTGATCGTAGATCTAAACGACCCCCATGCACACATACAAATGCTATACGTTGTTCACTCCTAAAGGTCTCTTGTGATTATGGAGTCATCGGTGTTGCTCATACATTTAAGGACATTTGTACTCCGACACAGCCTTGCACAGTCCTGTATTGAGGACTTGTTTCTCGTGTGCATGGGCGAACACTCACACCACTCCCCTTTTCTTCTCCAAGTCTTTTTGGGTGGTGGGGAGTGTTGGACACACAAAAAAAAAAGATGGAAAAAAAAAGTGGGGGGAAAAAAGCAAGGAAACAAGTTTTTCTGTGAGAAACTGAAACTTTTACCACTGTTTTAAACAGTGACAGATGTTAGAAAATGTTAGACAACCTATACAATTATTCCAAACGTGCCTGTTCTCTCTGATCAATCCAGTTTATTTTTCTTTCATTTCATGGTATTCTCCTTAAAGTTCACTGTATGGCTGGAGTTAACTTGAGCCGCTGGTTTAGACCTGAGGTCTGACCTTAGATTTACATTGAGGTTTAAATCAAAAGTTATAAAGTGAAGTCAGTGTGGCTTTCGTGAATGACTGATGGAGATTTTGCTAGTATTTTAGATATCAAAAAACATTTACCTTATCAGTATTTTCATTTGCCCTGCTTTTTTTTTCCTTTCTGGAGTGCAGTTCTTAAATGGTCCTTTTTAAAGCTATCCTCTCCCAGCCAGAAACGGACTCCCGTCCTCTCCCTCCCTCGAGTTTCCTTTGTGCCCACTGACACCTTCACCCAGAGTGTGTGAACTTGTATGAAAGGCCCGGCCCTTCCTCATTTTGAATATGAAATATCAAGAGAAATTGACACATGAAAATCAACAATAAAGAGATGGCCTATTTATAGGTGATGTTCTTAAGTTTTGTTTTTTTGTGATAAATACACAGGTGAATCTTACAAGAGGTCAAGAAATGAAATAGATTTATATTTTGCATGAAGAAAAACACTATTTTTGAGCACCACAAAGATGTGATTATTATTATTTTTTTCCTCCAAAATGTCAAAAGCCGGCTATAATGTGGGAAAACTCGTCCTCATTACTGATGTGAAAAAAAGAAAATGTATATCTATATACACATCATGGTAGTGTTAGTTGTAGGCATTTTATGCTGGTTTTAATCATTAAAAAAATGTATTGATTGGATGGTTTTCAGTACTTCATTACAGCACATAGCATGTATATTAATACTATATTCATTTATCCTCCAAAATGTCAAAAGCCGGCTATAATGTGGGAAAACTCGTCCTCATTATTGATGTGAAAAAAAGAAATATCTATATACACATCATGGTAGTGTTAGTTGTAGGCATTTTATGCTGGTTTTAATCATTAAAAAAATGTATTGATTGGATGGTTTTCAGTACTTCATTACAGCACATAGCATGTATATTAATACTATATTCATTTATGTATTGCTATATTACAGTAATAACTTATACAGTGAGAATGTGCTTGATGTGTAAATGTTTGAAAATCCTAAAGGTCCTTAAATGTATTTTCCCCCCCGTTGTTAAATATAATGAAGTGACCAAACCTTGTCCTGCCAAAAAAAAGAGAAAAGGACGTTTATTTGTTAGTTTATTAGTTATCTACGGTGGCTCCTGGTTAAGGAGTAGAGTTTAATTTACTTCTTAATTAATCTATGAGGTTTTTAGGAGCTGTCTTGTTCTCTGAATATAAATCCAGCAGGGGGCGCTACAGGTACATATGGATTTCAATGCAGTAGTATTTGCCCCCCCCCCGTTGTTAAATATAATTAAGTGACCAAACCTCGTCCTGCCAAAAAAAAGAGAAAAGGACGTTTATTTGTTAGTTTATTAGTTATCTACGGTGGCTCCTGGTTAAGGAGTAGAGTTTAATTTACTTCTTAATTAATCTATGAGGTTTTTAGGAGCTGTCGTGTTCTCTGAATATAAATCCAGCAGGGGGCGCTACAGGTACATATGGATTTCAATATCATAAATACTACAAATTCTGCTTAAATGCCACTTTCATGAGCCGTGGCTGCACAAATTGAATTGAGACACTTGAAATCACAGGGAATAACCAAACTTAAAGGGGTCATATGATGCTTTTTTAAAGATCATTATTTTGTGTATTTGGTGTAACAGAATATGTAGTTTTTGAACCGGCTCATTGGAACGAACTGTTCAAAATAACCGATTCGCGAAAAAAATGAATTTAACTTCTCATCACTAGAAATATGTGGCTTGTGGAACATAACTTTTTAATAATTAGACCATTTTGATTTTAAATAGAATTCTGCTAATTGAGCGGAGTTATAGAATTTGAGCACATTTCAAAACAATATTAAATTCTCGCTAAACATCCTTTGTTCTATCGCAGGATGTTTATTTGTAACTATATGGAGTTTAGTATCAATTTTATGTTATAATTTATTATATCCACATACGCTTTGATATATATGATCATGTGGATGTTTAATTAATAATTCATAAACATTTTGTGGATTATATCAACCATAGTCTCGACATACAGCGTAGTCGAAAGTATTCTAATTTATAAGTAATACAACATAGTCTGAAATCGTCAACACAGATATGATCGCAGCAATCGTACGATTTTATAAAATGTCTGAAGCTTAACAAGACTGTGATGAACTCTGGGAAAGTGGAATGTTAAATCAGATGTCCAGATTCACTGACAGGTTCTATTGTAAAAACAATGTGTCGCATATACAGCATTTCACGGAGATGTTAGACTTTGCTCTGACAGGACAGCTCGTGCTCAGGTAGTGTCTGCTTGTGCCAGCATGCCGCAAGCTATTAGCGCACGTCATTTCCGCTATTCCTCCGCCAACTTCCCTGTGAAGAAGAAGTGGATTTTTGCAGGAACGAGGCGATGAGCCGTGATATAAACAAATGGCATATTCGCATAAGTTTTTGTTTATGCTTTGAAAAACCTGCTTGGAAGAGGATTTATCTGTTCGCTTTATTTTCAGATCTATCAGGACCCGCGGAAAGACGAGTGTTTGAGTAATATCAGAGAGTTTGTGAAAGGCTGTGCATTATATCACATAGAGGTGAGTGCTGCGTGATCTTTCATCTTCTGTTTTAGTCCTTCATTTCCTTTGCATGCTCGTTTATATTTCTGAGCACTGATTCAGTGGCTTGTTTGTGAGGTCGCCAGACTGAGTCTCAGCTGGAGTTGGGAACAGACTAATCCTGTGTGTTTTGGTTTTGGTGTTATTATTACCTCGGTAACAATGGCATCTTGGCTTGTTTGTTGCCATGACAATTTCTTAGATGAATAATGCACCATTGCTTTATTGTGTCATTTGTAGATGTCCAGGTAGCTTGCTCTACTTTGTGTTTACAGACAGTGAAAAGTCAAGCTGTGGAAGACAGAATTGATTATAAAAACATTGAAAGACATGATATCACAATCAATAAACTATTTATAAGGGCCCCGGGGCCTGTATTTTGCAATTAATCAGTAAGGAGGTGAATGAGAACTAACTGACATGTGACTGTCCAAAATTACACAAAAATGTGAAATAATCAGTGTTGGGGAAAGTTACTTTTAAAAGTAATGCATTACAATATTGCGTTACTCCATAAAAAAGTAACTAATTACGGTACTTAGTTACTTTTTATGGAAAGTAATGCGTTGCGTTACTTTTGCGCTACTTTTTAAATCTGGACAGGGCTTGCTTGCTTGTTTTTCAAATAAAAAAAGTTTTATTTTTGGCAAATATATAAAAGCCCTTTCACACCAAAAGTGAAATGAATAAGCCTCGGGCTGAAGGGAAAATAAATTTACGTCCGTACAGTAGAATGCAGAAGAAGACATTTCAACACACTTCAGCAGTAAACAAAGACACACAAATGTTCGTCCAGAGTAACTTGTGCTTATTAGTATGAACTGGCTCATCGAAGGTCAGAAGCAAAGACATTGGTTAATCGAATGGGATTAAATGCATAAAGGATATTTGTGTTGTTTAACATTAATTATTGCAGGTTGGCGTCATATTCTGAGTTGCATTATTTATTTATTTTTCATTTTGAGGAATACTGAATCTGGGGGGGGGGGGGGAGATGAATTAATGCATATTCATATTTATTTTAGAACTACAGTAACATCTTCTGATTTCTCTCAACATGGGGACAGGAGAGCTGTCAGTCAATAAATTGGGGAAAAAAACTAACTCCGATATTCTCTTGTAAATTAAAAAGTAATGCGTTATTTTACTAGTTCCTTGAAAAAAGTAATCTGATTACGTAACTCGTGTTACTTGTAATGCGTTACCCCCAACACTGGAAATAATAAATGCCAAGAGCAAGTATTTCAGGAAAACAATGGATAAATTTGGGTTTATTCAGAATATTATTCCAATATATCCCAACAGCTGCAAAGAATCTAAAAGTGTTTTCCAGAGTAAAGCAGAATGTGGGCTTTAAACTGAAGCTGATGTTCACGTAAGTCAAGTCAATGTTATTTTTATACCGCTTTTTCACAATACACCTTGTTTCGAAGTAGCTTTACAGAAAAACATGATGTTTATAGTATCTTACAATCTTCATGTCTTATAGTTTCATTTAGCAGATTAGAGTTGAGTGGTAACAGTTTACATTTTGCAACAATCTAGCAGTTTAGTGTTACTATCTAGTATATACTAGTCGTTTATGTGAGAATACTGAATGTGTGTGGTTAAAGCTGGATTTACTTGTATATCCAACTTTTAAATAGAGCTGTTCAATTATATGTGTAGTTTTCATGGCAACATGATCATGATCTGGTGAAACTGGACTGCTTAATTACAAGCATGAATGTCCAATATTTAGTGTAACGTTTCATAATAAACACTTTAACTTCAGTAATTTGCAGCGTGTTGCCGATTGGGCGTTGTACCTGACAATGCTCAATGCCAGGTAAAATTTATTCAGAGTCGTCCAAACTTGTTTATCAAGAGAAGTTCTTTGCTGAAAATTGCAGTGCATTGTAACAGTTTTTTTTTTTACACTGTTAATATGCTATTAACAGTTCATTTGTTTGTAAATATGGTGTTCTGGCAGCTCAGTCTCCACTCAAGTCCAACACTTCAAGGTGTTGGTATGAGACTGAATCAGATCCTTCACCCACACAGTGTTTTTACTGGAGGCAGAGCCAATGCTATTGTTAAACCCGGTTTTATGGCTAGTTTTTGTGTTCAGATCTAGCTCTGCCCATTTTTCCTGCAGATATCTATAGTATGTCTGTACAGGCAATTGCATGTCGTTTCTTGGTAAAAGCATGCAAGAATAGACAGCACAGTATGCAACCATAAATTATTCACAGTATAGTGCAATTAATAGACACGACCTTTGATTTACTGCAGTCTCTAAAGTCTAGCACTGGCTATGTAATGATTCCATTCAGATCTAATGTGATAGCACCATGTTATTTTGAAAGTGACGATTTTCTCAACAACTGCTGTTCTGTCAGTAAAAGCTGTTTTTACTTTTTGAATGCCACATTTTTGACACTTTTGAGTGTTTTCAGGAAATCTGACAGTGATTTTTCTTCACAAACACTTCTGTGCTTGTTAATGCTTGGCAGCGTGATCGCGTATCTGCAATCTTTCTGCCCACAGGGGTGCTTGGGTGCGTATGTTGCTCTGTGCGGCATTTGTTGCTCTGTATGAGTGTGCTGTTGTGTAGGACGGTTGTGGTTCTACTTCTGTGTGTGTGTAACTGTGTGTTTCAGGAGTGCCAGTGTCTTCAGTTCTTCTAGCCAGCTGTGAGAGGTTCAGACAAGCCCTCTATTGTGGTGAATGGAGTTGTGTGTTTGAATGGGTAGAGCTGCCAGCTCATTAATGGTGCTGTGGGGTCTGGCACAGACCAGAATTAAGAGAGGCACTCCAGTCCACACTAAAACTGCTTTTTCAAATGGCATGTTTGGATGACTGGTTTAAAGAGAAAGAGCAGGAGGGAATTTAATTCCACTACAGCGATGGCAGATGATGTAATGTAGACTTAGATGTGTGTGATGATTGTTGATTGTGTTTGAGTCTTGGGGATTGGACTTTAGGCCTGTATCAAGTACTGAATATTAATGAAATGTCTTTGTGTCTCTTTTTTTGAGAGATTCATCGGAGAAAATAAACATAGTTTATTTAACATCTTAATTCACTGATAGGAGAAAGTTTCTTTTGTCAGTTCCTGTTAAGTTCATCCTCTTGTAAAATCATTGTTGACTGTTTTTAGATTGCTACATTGCCATGGGTTAAAAATGTTTAATGACTGCAACCAGTTTATTAATGCACAGTACTGATCAAAAGTCTGGGGGTCGACAAGATTTTTAATGGCTTTAAAGGGTTAGTTCACCCAAAAATGAAAATTCTGTCAGTAATTACTCACCCTCGTGTTGTTCCAAACCCATAAGACCTTCGTTCATCTTCGGAACACAATTTAAGATATTTTTGATGAAATCTGAAGGCTCTCTGACCCTCCCATAGACAGCAAGGTAACTACCACGTTCAAGGTCCAGAAAAGTACCAAGATTATCAACAAAGTAGTCCGTGTGACAGTGGTTCAACTGTAAAGTTATGAAGCTATGAGAATGTTATTTTTGCACGATAAGAAAACAAAAATAACAACTTTATTCCACATTTTCGTCTCTATTGCGTCACTTGTAGATGCGCGTTCACGACAGTATCATGACTTGAGCGTGTGAGAGTACTATTCAGAGAGTACTTTTTTTTTAGTATTCAGGGTCAGAGAGCCCTCAGATTTCATCAAAAATATCTTAAATTGTGTTCCGAAGATGAACGAAGGTCTTACGGGTTTGGAACAACACGAGGGTGAGTAATTAATGACAGAATTTTCATTTATGGGTGAACCATCCCTTTAATGGTCTCTTATACGACTGCATTTATGTGATCCCATTACTCCAGTCTTCAGTGTCACAAGATTCTTTAGAAATCATTTTAATATGCTGATTTTAATATTTTTGTGGAAACCGTGACATTTATTTCAGGATTTTTTATATATTTATTTTTTTCTATTTATAAATTTTTTTGGAATGATAGTAATTTCAGAAAGAACAGCATTTATTTGAAATAGAAATCATTATAGCATTATAGGGCTAGTAAATAACTAAAGGAAAGGGAAAATCTTACCTACCCCAAATTTTGAACAGTAATGTAAGTGTATTTTATTAAAAAAATTAAACAAAATCTCTCTGACCAATATGTAAGAGAAAAAATTGTTGTAATCAAAGTTACAGGTGGTTTTAAGACAACATGAAATCTAAATGAACCCAATTTACTTCCTTAATACATGGTAAAACCTCATAAAATCAAGTGTTTCATTTGAAAAGACTTCACATTATGGCAGTGAAATGGGAAAATGGCCAACACTTCCAAAAAAATGACAATTTTTTTTTTATTGATAAAATAGCCTGCTTCCTAACTGTGTATAGAAAACAATAGCCACGTAAACACTGCAGCTAAATTCAGTTGTCAGTTCACCTTTTAGTGCTTAATCCTTTTCTGACACTCAGTTTAGTAATTTACGGGAGCGACAACCACCAGACCTTGACATAAAAAAACTGCAAATGAGAACAAGCCAATAATAAACTCCAATAAAATCCAAACGTGTTATCTTGGAAATAAGCCACATACCAAAATATCGCCACCTGCCTACTTTATTATCTCCATAAACTGGATCGCTTTATGAGCTGGGCCCAAACAACAAACCCAAAGACACCTAATAAGCATTGCTTATAATAAGTGGACATGGCAACACTTCAACAGCGCGATCTGCAAAGCAACCTTCCAAACTTAAACAAAACACGATGGCTCTGCCAACAGTGGTTTTGTTAAAATCGCCAAACATAAGTCTTTGGTCGCTGTAATATTACTTTGGTCAAAATTAGCGAATAACAAATGCGTGAGACAGCAAAACATTGCTATGGTTACTTACAACAGTTTAATCATTGCCATTTCAAGAGTGAGTTCAGTTCTGAACACACACAAAACTGTAATTTAGGGGATTCACTACCGTATTTAAATATGGCTGTCACTCCTGAAACTTTAAAGTGTGTACGTGGCCAACAAGTAAACCATTCATAGTTGACTTCCCCAAAAGGTATAGTTTCCTAAATTATAATCATCATAGAAAAATGCAAATGAGCTGATCCACCAGGAAAAATTTGGTGTTTGGTGTCCAGGACCACTTTACTTCTCCATCTTATTGCCTGTATTGTTTGAAGAGTTCAAATCAAGCTGGTGCCAAATCAGGCCAGTTTGGGTTTACTTGGGATGAGCTTATGTGTCCAGATGGCCCAGAGAGCAGCAGGTAGTCTGAGAGCCAGAATCCCGCACGCACACAACACTGCCCTAGCTTAGCAAAACTACATTCTTATATTCCCTCAGTGAAGCTCCTTTTATAGAGAATCTGTGATCCTCATAAATGTTTGTAGGTTTCTGTGACTGGAACTTTGGTCTGTCGCAAAGAGGTCAGATTAACCCTAGTGACAGTTTCTGTAATGTTGCTTATTCTGCAGAATATGTGCATACTGTTACTGTTCTGCTGTTTTGCAAATGGCCTTTAGATTTGCATATTTAGCATTACATGACTTGAGTTACAATCCATCTCTGCTAAAACTGTCCATCCAAGTTTAATATATAGACTTGAAGCTTTTTACCATGGGTAATGCTTCTTGGCCAGCATCACTCATCGTATTCTGATCCCTTGATGCATTTCATTTCAAATGCATAAATATGCTGATTTGATCACAAGAAATATTTCTTATTATTATCAATGTTGAAAACAGTCATGCTACTTAATATTTTTGTGGAAATCATGATACATTTTTTCTGGATTCTTTGATGAATAAGTCTTTTAAAACATGAAAGTTTTTACTGTTACTTTTAATTAGTTTCATATATCATTGCTGAATAAAAGGGGTCGTATGATGCGATAAAAAAATTTCCTTTCTCTTTGGAGTGTTACAAGCTCTTGGTTCATAAAGAAGATCTGTAAAGTTGCAAAGACTAAAGTCTCAAATCCAAAGAGATATTCTTTATAAAAGAGTCAACCACGCCTACCTAAAATGGCTCCTTCTAACACGCCCCCACATGTCTACGTCACTATGTGGGAAGATTTGCATAACGCCGCCCAAGTGTTCACGCAAAGAAAGAAGGCGTAACTTTTATTCTTGCTGTAGTATTGTTGCCGCCGTGTCGGGAAGACGCTGCGTGTTTCGTTGTGAAAGCGAAACTACTTTGTTTGGCCTTCCAAAAGAGGACGATATCTGCTTCGTCATGTCTAGAGCTGATCCGTGCTGGTCGCTGAGGAAATACATCAACTTCGTGCTGTGGATCACCGGATCGGCTTTCACCATGGACGAAGCAGAGTTCACCCCGGGGTCGTCACCTGTGGTTGCCGCAAGCCCGCCAGCCGCTGCTTCGTCGAATCCGCCGGCCGTTCCTCACTCAAGCCCGCCGGCCGCTGCTCACTCAAGCCCGCCGTGTGTGACGCTGTGTTTCGTTGTGAAAGCGAAACTACTTTGTTTGGCTTTCCAAAAGAGGACACGACTAGAAATCAGTAGTTAAGTTGTATTTACAACACTGTTCCAGAACACTTCAACCCAAATATTCAGATGTGTGCAGCACATTTTATGGAGGACTGTTTCCTGATCCTGGTAGAGTAGACTACAATGCCGGCTGTTCTGACTCACAGACTGCAAGTATGTTTTCATATTTAAAAAATTTGCCACTGATGATTCAAACGCGAGTTTTGAGCAGTGTAGAGTAGCGCTTGTTGTTTGTCATTTCTCCGATCACAAATGCAGACATGGTTTTATGTTGATGCGATGCAACGCAAAGCGTAAAAAGACAGTATAAGTCATTATAATCCGTAATTATGTCCCCACTGGATGCAACAAATGCCTCGTTTATAATGGGTTTTAATGTTTTTGTCACGTCGCTCCGGCTGGGACACGGCATCACAGTATGGTAAGGGGCGTAACATTTCCGTCACACACTTGAGGTATTCGGCCAATCACAACGCACTGGATAGCTGGCCAATCACAGCACACCTCGCTTTTCAGACCAATGAGCTTTGTAATCGACGCGTTTCAGAAAGGCAGGGCATAGAGGAGAAACAATAATGTACAGTATGTGGAAAATAATGTGTTTTTGAACCTTAAACCGCATAAACGCATTTCATTACACCAAATACACAAAATAATGTTATTTTTAGCAACATCATATGACCCCTTTAAATAAATTAAAAAAATCTTACTGGCTCTAAACCTTTGTAGAGTATGTCACGAATCAAGTTGATCTTGTATTGCAGATAAAAAAAACAACAACAGTATTTATTCTTTTGGGACTTGTTAACCTACTGCACTTAAGGCATGTTGTGCATCAAATCAAAACATGCTGATCTAAAATGTTATTTCTTTTTGTATAGGATTATCTGTATGATGTGAGACTAGCAGATCCAAATTCTGTACTTTTATTCGCTTTATATTTGAGCTCATGAATGTCTTTTCGTTTTTAGCATGTGTAATTGTGGCATTTTTCCCTCTGCAGGTATTTGAGGCCAATGACTTGTTTCAGGGCCAGAACTTCTCCAAAGTCTTGAATTGTTTGGTTGCACTCAACAAAGCAACTTCAGGTGAGATACGTCTGAAACACCTGTATTATCAGTGCTCTCTGACCAGATGTTTATCAAATCTTTTGATAAGTAAAGTCATTTAGTTTATTACCAGCATAGCCTAGCTGTATTTGTCTTGTCACAGTATTTACTCAGAAGTGAGCTAAAACCTGATATGATTGCCCAAATATTTTTTGTAAATATTCTTAAAAATGTTTTTTAAAGAAAGTTTTCTGTTAAAGAGATTTTGAAAATCTTGTTATCATTTACTCACCCTCCACTTGTTCCACATACATACATGCAAATAATACACACACACATATATAGCTTATGTATGTATAAACACAGAGATACAGCAAACATATTATGGTGCGTATATTTATGACATGTACTGTTATTCACGTAATGGCACACAGTAACAAGTAAAAACATTTACCTTGGAGTTGGTGTTACATTCCACTTATCCTGTGATCCGCTGTGTCTGTTATAAGTTGGAAACTGTCGATAGGTAACTTAACTAGGATCCGCTTGGATCTTACCTTGTTACTTTAACTGTACAGTTAAAAAAAAACACAGCCGCAAAAACGAAACTTCTACCCGGCACAAACGAAGCACTAACGATTGAGACTATTTTGGGTGAGTTTGGAGTGTGTAGGGGAGCTAGTGACGTCATTGCGTTTAATGTAATGTCTAATATTTTAAAAACCAAAGCAGCACAAATTATTTTTTTTACGGCACAAACCAGCACAAACGAAGCACTAACGATTGAGACTATTTTGGGTGAGTTTGGAGTGTGTAGGGGAGCTAGTGACGTCATTGCGTTTAATGTAATGTCTAATATTTTAAAAACCAAAGCAGCACAAACAAAATTTTTACCTGCACAAACCAGCACAGACGAAGCACAAACAAACGAGACTATTTCGGGTGAATTTGGTGCGTGTGGGGGGGCTGAGTGACCTCAGAATAACAACATTAAATATTATTTTAATATCTTAAAAACCAAAGCAGCACAAATTATTTTTTTTACGGCACAAACCAGCACAAACGGATCACAAACAAACACAGGTATTTGGGGTAAATTTGGAGCGTGTGGGGGGCTGGTGACGTCATCGACCCGGAAATTAAATGTCTAATATTTTAAAAACTGAAGCAGCACAAACGAAAATTGTTACGGCACAAACCAGCACAAACGAAGCACTAACGATTGAGACTATTTTGGGTGAGTTTGGAGCGTGTAGGGGGGCTGGTGACGTCATCGCCTAAAATATAATGTCTAATATTTTAAAAACCAAAGCAGCACAAATGAAACTTTTACCTTCACAAACCAGCACAAATGAAGCACAAACAAACAAGACTATTTCGGGTGAATTTGGAGCATGTGGGGGGGCTGAGTGACCTGAGAATGACCTTTAAATAAATATGTTATATCTAACAAACCAAAGCAGCACAAACAAAAATTTTTACAGCACAAACAGAGCATAAACGATTGAGACTATTTTTGCGACATTTTGCGTTGGCCAACTTCACGGAGGTCTTGTTCCAAACCTGTATGAGTTTCTTTCTTCTGTTGACCACAAAAGAATGTTAGTAACCAAACAGATGCTGGTAGCCATTGAATTCCATAATATTTTTTCCATACTATGGAAGTCAGTGACTACCAGCAACTGTTTGGCTACCAACATTCTTCAAAGTATCTTCTTTTGTATTTATTGTTTTTCATTTTTAGGTGTCCTGTTCCTTTAAGGTTAGGGTTAAGTTATAGTATCTATGTCTAGCTGTAAATAAAGACAATATAATGGAATGTCCCCATTTAGATAGCTAAGTAAATGTGTATGTTTTGTTGATGAGTATTTTCTGGTTGTAGAGTCCGGTGGTGAGAGTAATTCAGTGTGTTCTCGTCACTCGTCTTCTCTGCGGATCAAGTCCTTTGACTCGATCAACTGTTCTTCCACTCACAGGAGATCATCCAGACTCAAGTACAACCAGTACCGCAGTCTGGTGAGCTTCACGACCACTTCACACCCTAATAAATAAATAGAATAAAAAATCGAAACCACTGGAAAACAGACTGAAATGATTTTTTTTTTAAATTGTTAAATGTACTACTCAATTCTTTGTGTGTAACACCTTTTTGAGTACTTGGTACACATGTAAATTGAGACCTCAGACAAATATGAAAGCCTGAAAGAGAAGCTGGAAGAAATTATCTCTGTATTTGTTTTTCTCTTTCTGTCTAGGACATGTCTGAAAACAATGCCCCTCAGGTGCTGGTGAAAGCGCGGTTTAACTTTCAGCAGACCAATGAGGATGAGTTGTCCTTCGATAAGGGTGACATCATCCAGGTGACACGGCAGGAAGAGGGCGGCTGGTGGGAGGGGTCTCTCAATGGCAAAACCGGCTGGTTTCCTAGCAACTATGTCAAAGAGATCAAAGGCTCTGGTTAGTATTTGCCGCTTTAAACCTCGAAAAAATTTAGTTGCAGAAGTTGAACCCTGACAAAAACTCTTGTAGGAAGAGAGCTCCTGCAGGACCAGACAAGCAAAGTGAACTAGAGGATTCTGTCTTACTCTTAGTCCTCTCATAGCCTGCCAAGAAAAGCAGAAGAGATGAAATTTTGTAAACCCTATTTACCTGCTGACTTTCTTCTGTGTCCTAGTGTTATCATAATATTTTCATAAAAGACCTGCTGGGTATGTGCATAGATCAGAAAATCGCTGCGGGCAGCTGCATGTTAGGCTGTCAGCACTTTAGCTAGCTTAAAATATTTGGGTGATATATTTTTTTAAAAGCCATATTTGTACTTGTACTCTATGAGGCACTGTGGCACTATGTGAACGTAAAATCTGCCCGGGTCCATTAAAAGGGCGATTAATAGAGGACTTACAGGCTTAATGAAAATGTGCCAAAAGAGAACTGAATGGCAGCCCTCTGCAAAAGCCAAAAACTGTAGGGTTATGTGACCATTACAGGCTTACAGTGGAAAAATGTGTGCTCGTTCAACCCAGGTTGGGTACAGGACCAGGTGCTGCATACAGGGTACCAAACTAAGAATTAAAAGAGTAAATGGTAGGACACTTCATCTGAAGACACCATTTGTAATGACAAAACCTTTTGTTTGTTTAGTTCTTTAATAAAATTTGCTGATCTAGTGCTTTAGATTTTAACTTTCCCTTTAAACATTTTCATCCCACCAAAAAAAACAAAAAAACAAATACAGTAAAAACTTAAATATTGGCAAGATTATTACAATATAAAATGTATTATAGAATATATATTTGAAGTGTCACATGATTCAGAAATCATTCTAATATGCTGATCTGCTGCTCAAGAAACATTTCCTATTATTATCAATGTTGAAAATAGTTGTACTGCTTAATATTTTTGTGGAAATCACAATAGGTTTTTGCATTATATCAAAGTTGGAAAGAGCAGCATTTTTTGAAATAGAAATCTTTTTTCTAAATTTCTAAATGTCTTTACTGTCAATTGCGATCCATTTAATGTGTCCTACCGGAATAAAACTCTTTTTAATTTCTTTACAAAACCTTATCTCACTGTATGCACACTGTAGTATAAACACAACCCCCTGACCCTTGTTCTGCAGTCCAAACATAAACAGCATATACACCCCATGATGCCAAACACTTCCCTCTCATGTATGGGGGAAACGACCTTAATGTGTATTCGACCCAGCTTGAATGGAAATAATTTAGGATGACATCAGAGCTTGAACATCCAGGACTTAACAGGAAGGAAACACCATCTAACAACAAAGACAGGAAGTGCAGCAGCCAGAAGACAGCACTTCCCCTTTCCTCTGAATATGGCTCCACACTCAAGTTTATTCCACTCTCTGAGCACTTAGTGATCCAGTCTCTTTTAGGATTTACTTGTGTTAAATGCGTGCCGATCATAACTTGTAGTAGGCTTTAATAGTATATTGATTTCATACATCATCTCAAAAATGGCTGCAGTTAGGAAGAGGGGAAGAGTGTAGTGTTCATGATACATGCATTGTTTTCTTGGTGTTCAGATTACATGATTAAACGGACCGTTCATCTAAAAATTAAAATTCTGTCATTTGCTCACCCTCATGTCATTTCAAACCTGTGCAACTTACAGTTGTGTGCAAAAGGAGAAGTCATACATTTTTGGAACAAGATGAGAGTGAATATGATGACACAGCTGTCATTTTTGGGTAAATTATTCCTTTAAAACTAGAATTGTTCAAATCTTCCAATCTTCTTCTTTGGAGATGTTGAGTTAGAGAACTTGAGGAAGGGAAAGAAAAAACAAAAATCACAGATTTGCCAAGTAGAGAAAGAGAATAATGGTTTTAATCAATGAAGTGATTGTTTTCTTTTGGCACGATGAGAAATGTTCAAGCTGGCAATTTTGATAGTTCCAGGAAGTTCACACATTATGTTACTGATATTAGTGTAATGCAGGGGTGGGCAAACTTGTCCCTTCCAGGCCACTTTTCTTCAGAGGTTAGCTCCAGCCCTAATCAAACACACCTGAACCAGCTAATCATTGTCTTCAAGACTACTAGAAGGCTACAGGCAGGTTAGTCATATCAGGGTTGGATCAAATCTCTGCAGGAAAGTGGCCTGGAAGGGCCAAGTTTGCCCATCATTGGTGTAACGGAACCATAAGGGATTGAACTAAAGCCTGGCTCACACTACAGGATTTTTAGCCCGATTTAGCCCCGATTTTCCCCTCCCGAGAATCGGAGCAAAAATCTTGTCGAGCCCCTCGATCGCTCCCGATGTTCGGCACGGATTATCTGGCAATGTGAGGCGCTCACCGATCGAATCTTGCACCTCCCGATCTGCTCGCACACAAATCGGGGCCGCCCCGATCATATCAAACATGTTTGATATTTAGGATTGAAATCGGGATGATGACGGCTATGATTACGTCAGTACTTTCACAATAGCCAATGCGCGACTGCAAAACAGCTGCTGTACGGCCTCGTTGGATAGTGGAGACAGAGGAAACTGCTTCTTGACGTTTTGTAGTAACACGACTGTCTGTATAATGTGTCAAAAAGGTATCACAACCGTAAGGTGAAAGAGAAGCGCTGGAGTGAAATCGCCTCAGTTGTGAACGTGTACGGGGGTGGCAGGGGAGTCACAAACAGGGGGTCTGGGGACTTTACTCAAGTTAAAACACTTTCATCCTCATGAATGTATGCTGGTTTACCTAATGGCTGCGACACACACCAGTTTTTGTTCTGTGCTGATCACAATCGAATCCTTTCATTATAACATACAGAGTGTTTACACGACGATGTTAATAATATATTAATTGCAAATTTGATCATCTGGGACATATGTATTAGGCCTAAAAAAAAGCCTGTATTCACCATTCTTTATGCATGCCTAACACAATAATCACCCATTTTTAAAAAGCATTATGAAAAAAATGACAAGTATAGAAATCTCAATAAGGAAATGTATTTCAATATCAGGAAAAATAATTTCTTCCTGTACACAGGATGAACGATCTACTGTGTTAATTCATTTTAATTAATTTAAAACTATTACAATGGTTTAACATTGTATTAACATTTTAAAGAATCAACTAAAATTTAAGCAACAGCAAGCAACAATTTTATTAATGGATTATTCAGTCAGTTATTCAAGTTCTCCATTCTATTCAAATTGGGGCTACTCGGGGAACAAACACTCTGTGTGAGTGTGTAGGGTGTGCGTGTGTCTGTGTACAGAACATTGTCAGCTGGCCTGGGCGCAGCTCCCCCTCCTGCTCAGTGATTTGAACCGTTGTATACTAAACTAACTGGGAATTTGGGAAATTAAATTAACCGTTTACTTCATCCTGATACCTTTGCTTGCTACTGGAATACGTTTCCCAGATGCCATCTCTGTAGCATCTCTCTAGCTAGCTGGTTTAGAACTTATGCTAATGTTATAATCTCCAGTACTCCACATTAACACCCATTTCTCATTATAGCATATATTATCCCTTCTCGTTAGACTTATAAAGTCCCTAAATACATATTTCCTCCATTTGAAGACTGTCCCAGATTACCCAAAGCATGCTGTCCCACATTCTCAATCATATTTGATAACGTGGGACAACAAAAAAAAATGTTTGAAAGAAAAAAAACTCAAACACATTTTAAAGACTTGAATACATATTTTGTTGCTTGAATAGATCACAAACATAATTTGACAATTAGGAACATTGTATTATTTATGACAGATTTATGTCCTTAACATTAATCTAGTCAGAATCCTATGTCACTGACCTTGTCATGCAATTCCCAGGAGAGCTTCTTGATTGGCAATTGCCCGCCCTTTTCTGTGTAATCACCCCAATGGTGTCATGTGATTTCAGTCACATGACATCTATGCTAAAATTATAGTAAAAGTCCTGTTGACTAAATTTTGTTAGAACAGGAAATAAACCCACTGGAGTTTAGGTGTCCCAGATTACCCAATGTCCCAGATTACCTGAATTCACCCCTAGTGATAACCATAGCAATAGATGGGACAAAATATGTGAAAATGTGCATTTAGACTAGAGCACCCTCACTAATGCCAGAAGCACCCTCAGTGATTATTTCTGGTTGGTATACGCTATTATTGTATGGCCTACAAAAACAACAAAATACAAATGCACTAGAAAAAATAATTTAATAAATGCATATTTACCACTATAAGTATAAAGAAGAGCAGAAAGCGGCCCTAGGCAGATTTCAGGGGGGGCGGTGCCGCCACGTAGACATGCCCCTGGTCACGAGGTGATCACGTGAGGCGCTCCCTCTGGCATGATAATCTTTATAATATCTTGTAGTGTGTGATGCGCCATGATGTTCAAATCTTGTAGTGTGTGCATGTTTAAGATCTGAGAGAAGATAATCTGCAAAGATTCTCCTTATGTGTGTGCTGCAACCAGATTTCATAATCGGTTAGGATTTTAAAACTCCTGTAGTGTGAGCCCAGCTTAAGTGAAATGTTTAAACCATCTTCTTGCTGAAGGAAGAAGTGTAATGTTTTCCTGTAAACTCTGATCTCTCCCTCTAGGTATCTAAATCTAATATTCCTGTCCTGACTGCTCACTGCCTGAGAGATGTACTTTAATATTCAATAACAGAAACAAAATGTTTCCAGATGTTGGTCTAAGGTGACCTCCTTACCTTTTGTTCTGTTTTTGCTCTCTCAAACAGACAAACCTGTGTCACCCAAGTCTGGAACGCTGAAGAGTCCACCCAAGGCCTTTGAGACCACTAACTTCTGCAAGACTTACTATAATGTGGTAAGAGAGATGTGCTGTAGTGTTGCACTAGCGGCATGTAACACCTCCCACATGGAACGAGTTGATTATTTATGATGTGCGTGGGGTGGAAGTGATGCCTCTGGAGAGTTTGTATTGCACAGATATTTCCCTAACCAAATAAGCAAGTACACACCACCAATTCTGCCTATACTTGACAGATAAGACTAAAGTTTAAAGATATTTGGAGTGATTGTTATAACAGCATTATGAATCATTTTAGAGGATTATGGAACACTGCAACATATTTTTTTTAATTTTTTTTTTAACAGACTTGTTGCATGTCTATTTGTCTGGACCTCCCCTGAAATATTATTTTAGACTTAACTCTGAGGAGCACATTCAACTTATTTAAATACAATATGCAAATCCTAATTGACATAAACATCAGTATGCCGATTACAATGTCAATAATATACACTACCATTCAGAGGTGTGTGGCTGTAAGATTTTTTAAAAGAAAATAAATTGATACTTTTATTCATCAAGGATGCATTAAATTAATCAAAAGTGACAGTGAAAATATTTACAGTATTGCAAAATATTTTTTTTAAGTAAATACTGTTCTTTTTAACTTTATATTCGTCAAGTAATGATGACAAAATGTATCATGGTTTACACAAAAATATTAAACAGCACAACTATTTTCAACATTAAAGGGTTAGTTCACCCAAAAATGAAAATTCTGTCATTAATTATTCACCCTCGTGTTGTTCCAAACTCGTAAGACCTTCGTTCATCTTCGGAACACAATTTAAGATATTTTTGATGAAATCTGAGGGCTCTCTGACCCTCCCATAGACAGCAAGGTAACTACCACGTTCAAGGTCCAGAAAAGTACCAAGATGATCGACAAAGTAGTCCGTGTGACATCAGTGGTTCAACTGTAAAGTTACGAAGCTACGAGAATACTTTTTTGCGCAAAGAAAACAAAAATAACGACTTTATTCCACATTTTCGTGTCCACTTTGGACGCCTGTTCACGACAGTACTCGTAGCTTCGTAACTTTACAGTTGAACCACTGATGTCACACGGACTACTTTGTCGATCATCTTGGTACTTTTCTGGACCTTGAACATGGTAGTTACCTTGCTGTCTATGGGAGGGTCAGAGAGCCCTCAGATTTCATCAAAAATATCTTAAATTGGGTAAAGATGAACGAAGGTCTTACAGGTTTCGAACAACACGAGGGTGAGTAATTAATGACAGAATTTCATTTTTGGGCGAACTAACCCTTTAATAATAATTACTGTATTTTTGATCAATTAAATACAGCATTAGTGAGCATGAGAAACCTCTTTCAAATGCATTAAAGAATCTTTAGTGTATGTGGACCAGACGCATCTATGAACCAGTTCTCACAGCTAAAGATTATACAGTACTCATTTTCTTTGAGTAACATTGAGGTTAAAATGGTGCAATGCGAGGATATTCAATTTGTTTAGGGTTTTTTTTTTAAAGCAGTGTTGTATCCAGTTTTCTCAGTCTTAGCTTTGGTCTAATCCTTGAATTTAGAGTCATAAGGCTTTAATCTGGGTTTAAAAGCCTCGCCAAACTAGACTTACTTAAGAGTTGACAATCCAAGTTTAAACCCCCATCAGCAGATGCTGCTCCAGGTTTGGGCTTGATTTAATGTCAGTAATTAAGAGACTCACAAGTTCAGCATCCTGACAATAACAATTCTGTTAATAAAAGTATTTTTCAGATCATTTGCATATCTCTATGTCTATGCGAATGTCCTTTATTGTGCTCCATTTCCTCATGCGGCGTGTCCCAGAAGCCTCCCTCTGAGCCTCTGCAAACCCAATGAGCTGTTAATGTGCGTGTAGGTCAGGTTTCTTTTTTACCAAATGTCCCCACAAGGATGTTAAAATTGAAGTCACCTTTATTGTGAAGACTGTCCGCATGAAAACGCAAAATAATTTGTGTGAATGATAGCAGTAGGGGTAGGAGATAGAAATCAGTTTATCATTAGCTCAGTATAAAACCACGTTGGGATAGCAAACCTTTGTATGTGTAAACATATTTATATGTGAGCACATTTGTGTATTTTTAGAGGTGTTGACAAAGAGAAAGTGTGTCTGGGCCTGTATTTGCATATTCATATGTAAATGTGTTGTTGTGAATGTCTGTATTTGGTTATCAGTTCTCACTGGTGGTGTGTGTGTGTGTGTGTGTTTGTCTCTCAGTCGTCCCATAATATAGGTCATCTTTTCCATCTCATTGACTCGGGGGACAGCTGTGCCTGAGGCCCTGCACTGTCTATGTTTGTGCGTCTGTGTTGGTTATGTGTCATGTTTGATGAGAATGTGCAGTTAACTGGCTCAACACTCCTCTGAAGACTGCGCAGGGCAGAGCGACTGAAGATGAAGAGTGTGTGTGTGTGTGTGTGTTTCAGGGAGGGCACGAGTTTGAGGTCAGGCGGAGTTCAGTCTTTTACAGCAGCGTTTAGGGGAGGAGATCCATTCAAGTTAAGGACACAGTTTAAAATGGCCGTAACTGTCAGGCTGTCTAGACGTCCAGTGTTGTAGTTCATGCCAGGGCTGCTTCCATGCATGTGTTTACAGACAAACTTGTTCTTGGTCCTGGCTGATTCTTGAGGAAAGAAGTTGGCGTTTTCAAGTTTAGGCTGTTATGTGTCCTATCCTGTATCCATAAAAACGTATTTCTTGTATTTTCAGTTATTGATCTGTCTTCAAACCCACATTAAATATGTGCAAGCAGATCTCTTCAGAAAGCTCTATTTCTGCAGAATTGTATAATTACTTCAGAATTCTGTAAATGTATGGGAAAATATTAGTATTGATTTATTTAATGTTTTCTAAATGTTATTAGTTAATTTAATTTCTAATGAATGTTTATGTAAAAAATTTACATTTATAAAAATAAATTTCTACAAATAAATAAAAAATGTATTTTATTTATTTAAATGACCGGAACAGCAGGGAAAAATCCTTATTTTGAGCTTTGTAAATATCTTTCCCACCTTTCTACATTTAAAAATTTTAATTAATTGTATTTATTTAATGGACTTGGCCAGCAAAAAAAAAATCTGTATTTTTGAGCTTTGTATTTCTAAACTTCCAGCATCCCCTTTTTTTAAATACAAATTTTCAATAAGTTCCACAAGTTATCCACATTTGGGTAGAAATTTGGAAAGAAAAAGTCATTGTTTGATTGTTTTGATTGATGCTGTTATGCTTTTCCAGTTATTGGTTCATCTGCTTTCTGTTTGTGGACAGATTGAAGATTTATTGTTGCATTAAAGTTAGGGTTTAACTGCTAAGATGTATTCAGATAGCCTTGTACAACCAGGGATGTCTTTAAATTTTAAATTAATCTGAAATCAAAGTTTGTCATGACATGCAAGGACTGGCCCAGTTCTGTCATCTCTCGCACTTTCTCTGAATGCCTGTAGTGTTTTGTCTTCAAGGATAATGAGCATATTAAAATGGACCCTAGTTTCTAGTCTCTTTGCTTTTGACCTGTTAGTTTTCCATGTGCAATGTGTTTCTCCTATTTATGTAGCAACATATGCTGCACTGACTTTATCCTCCCATCTACAACTGTCTGATTGTTAAATGTTGAGCGTGTGTGGCAATAAGAGACCAATCATGAGTACTTGCCTCTTTTTTAACTTGCATATTGATGATTTTAACATTCGGTGCTTTAGGCATTTCAAATTGTGTTCTATTTTGTTTATGCTAACTACTAGTCAATATATATATATATATATATATATATATATATATA